AAAAAAAAATGCATAGAAATTAAGTATTGAAGATTTGGAGTACTACGATAAAAGAACACAAAATTTTTATTACGTAAAATAATTAAAGATATTTAACCTTGGAGGAAACATGCATGTGCAAAGTAAGGCCCTATTGATTCAACTTATTTTTGTTGAACTGAAACTATTTTTACTGAGCAAGCTCTAGTTTATAACCTAGATAAACAAAATATGTTTATCAAATGGCATTTTAGTAAATAAGTTGCATTGAAATTTGTGTTTTTTCATTAAAAAAATATATATATTTTTACTATTTGTGGGCCATTGTGACAAGTTGGACAACACTTTGGGAGTTAACACCGGTAACTCCCATTCATCTTCTTCTTCCTCCCACCTTCTTCATCATGTTCATCTCCTTCTTCTAATCATATTTTTTCTACAATGGGTCACCGTGTTATTAGCAAAAATCAAACTAGAAATCACACTAATTTATCATCCCACCCACCTTACCGTGTTTTTAGCAAGTGATTGTTTAAAAAGTGGAGCCATTAGAATGCACCTACCTGTAATGGGTCATCGTGTTTTTGCAAAAATCAAACCAGAAATCGCACTAATTTTTCTTCCCACCCACCTTATTCTTCTTCCTTCAATCTCTACCCACTTTCATCTTCTTTTTCAACTCAGTTCCACAACACTAGCACCACCATTTTCGCCGGCTTCGCCGATGAAATTAAACGAAAACCCTAGAAACAAACAGAGAAATTAATGGCATGGTTAACCCTAAAGGGTAGCTCAGTTTTCCTTCCTCCATAGAATTCGTCTTAGCACCACCATTTTCGATAGCTTCACCGCCGAAATTAAACGAAAACCCAAATAAAACCGCCGAAATTAAACGAAAACCCAAATAACAAAGTGAAAATAAAGGGCATGGTTAACCCTAAAAGGTAAGTAAGTTTTTCTTCCTCCATTGATTTTGTAATACCCTTGAAATTTCCTTCCTTTAAAATACTTCTTTTACTTTAAATAAAACCATTTTAAGGAAATAACCAAAATATTACCGCCATCATGATAACGACTAAGGCTAGTTTTCAAAGTCTCACAACGGAAGTCTAAAACATAAAAACCAACTGTCGAAATAAAACTTAAAACTTGAGTTCACAACCTCAAAACAAAAGTAAAATAAAACATCCACAAGTTGGAGCCAATTCAAACATATGACCCTTCTTAAAACCAAATAAACAAACATAATAATTTAGTCCATAACAAATCAGTAATTCAAAAATATCAAAACTAAGAAACATAACAAGTAACTATCATACTTTTCGTGCTTCAAATACCTGTTATTTCCTCTTTATTTCAATTTTCTACTCACCATAAAAATGGGTCATAGTAGGGCTAATCCAAAGGAAAGCCAAACACACACACAAAACTACGAATCAGCAAAACTGAGTACATATGCACCACACTAACATGAATATCCTAGCTTCAAAATAAAAATAATAATAAAAACATGCTCGCCACACAATCACAAGTCAACTTACCTTTGACTCATAACTAGCAATATTAATTATTAATAATAATTTTGGATTATGCATTGAACGGGTTTCCTTCCTTTAAAATAGCATATTTAAATATTAAGCTTCCAATTAGGGAGCTACCCCAATTGGCACCTACTATGTCACACTTGGTGACGGAATCCTAGCGCATAAATAATAAAAGAAAGTATAGCCTCCTGTACCCCTGTAGAAGCTATGGTTAAATATAAAACCCCATAACTCCCCCCATATGTTCATACTCAAGGTATATACCTTCCAAGAGTATTGGTGCGTATCCTCTTACACTTTACGTGATTTACCAATTTAACTTGTGATGACTCAAACCAATCAACAAGAACAAACATAATAACAATCAATACATAATTCCAATTCATTCTTGAATTAATTAGTGAGCACATACTATTTATTTTAATTAAGGTTTCTTGCCTAGTTTAGTGCACAAAATTGCACGATTACTACCTTGGTGCATAAGATGTACTACTAAACTTCCTTGACTTCAAACTCAACTTATTTGAGTGAGTAAATAAATAAACTAACTTCTTGACTCAACACCAATAATAAATGGGTGAGAAATAAATTCATGAATTATGATCGATAATTCTAACTTTAGCCACTAGGCAAAAATACAAAATCCCCACCGGTTCAAACCCCCCATTTCGCACCGGTTTTAAACCGGTCCGGATTTGGGGGGTGCTAAAACCCCATAGATTTCGCACCGGTTCAAAATCGGTGGGAAAAATGACTTTTTGCACCTAGGAGAGAACCGATGCCAAAAACTAAACTTTTCGCACCGCTTTTTATTTAGAACCGGTGCCAAAAGTCTCCAAAAATATTTTAAAAAAACTTTTAGCACCGGTTCTTTTCCAAAACTGGTGCCAAAAGTGCCCCAAAAAAATAATTTTTTATTTTTTATTTTTTATTTTTTTGCATTTTTTTCACTTAAATTGTACAAATACTTATGTATAATCATAATATACATAAAACACATATTTTCTTCAATATTTGTGTCATACATCTGATAAAGAGCACTACATCTTTGATAAATAGAATAAAAACTAACACAAAAAAAAAACAGCAAACTGCAGCAGCTCCCACTGACCCCAAGCCTGCAACAGAGAATGAGACAGCACAGCCACACCACGACCAGCAACCCCAGGAGCAGCTACAAGCAAAACAACAACCAGAAGCTACACCACGGCTAGGCAGCCAGCACCAGACCCAGCACGAGCTGTCAAAACCAGCAGACCAACAGCACAACAGTGCAACAGCAGCACAAACATACAACAACTTGTCAGCAAAGCAGCACTGAACACAGCAGCGCAACCACAACATCAGATAGTAGGCAGAACAGCAGACCAGCAGGCAGCAAACAGCAGACAGCAAATAGAAAGCCAAAAGCTTAGACCAGGCATCCTAACAGCCTGAACAAGATAGAAACACACACCACCAACAAGAAACATAGCAACACAGCACCAGCAAGTCAGGCACTAGCATAGAACAGGGCAAACAAGTTGAAACCCTGACCAGAAAACCATGACAGCAGCAAAAAACAGACAAAACAACAGCCTAACATACAAAAAACAAAACAGAAGCTAAAACAGAATGCTACTCTTGAGTTCCTGCAGCCACTTGCAATGTTGTCTCGACCATTTCTTACCAATCACTTGTTGTCCTCTCTCGACCACACTTCTACAGATGTCAGTACACACCCTTGGGGTTTTGGTTGCTGTTTTGTGTTGCTCTTGTGCTAGTCCTTGTAAAGTTACCCTTCATAGAAGGTGCCTCTTTACTTGAGTCTAGCTGTATGGTCCCTCTCTGTTTTAGGATCCCTTCCTAGAAGGTGGCCTTTTTACAGTTTGGGATTGTGTTTTTGATGGTTGGTTGCCTTCGGGCTTGTGTAGCTTAGGGGTTGCAGTTTCCCATTCTTGTAAGGTGTAACTGTTATTCTTTGGTAATAAAATTTCTTATTTACCAAAAAAAAAAAAATAGAATAAAAACTAAACAATAGGCAAAAGTTACACACCTTAAAATGGATTTTAACCAAAATAAATAAATTAAAGTCCACTCATGCTCCTACCAAAATGAAAAAACACGTCACTAAGGTAGTTTTGGAACTTTTACAATTCTTGTGGAACGCAAGAGGAATAAGATCCGCAAGCTTAAGTGGAGCTCCAGTTTTTCCCATACTTTCTAATATATGGGATTATATGCCTATCACCCAATAAAATCAAACCAATTAAACCATTTATAAGTCATAGATAATTTGGAAAAGAAATCTGGAAATATAATCTGCAGTCGAGAAGGCAGATTTAAGAGGAAGGAAGCTCAGAGTTGCTTCACTGGAATTCTTTATGTTATTTAGCAGCAGAGGAACAAGGCTATTTAGGATCCTTGCTTACAGAGTCATCAAAGGGTGGTAAAGAATTTCTTATGTGATATTTACCAGAGATTGACACACATTATGCCTCAAAAACAAGCAGGAAGAATAGAGATTGGATCAAGTGCCTCATTGCATGATCTCAGTTTCGTTTTGTTTGTCTTGCTGCTAGGCTGTACTGTGCTGTTGTTTTTGTTTTGTTCTAAGGGATTTGAAGATGCTTTTTTGTGCCCTGTTAATATTGGGGCTATTGTATTGTGTTCCTCGTTTTTGGTGATTAATAAAATTTTACCTTATTTCAAAAAAGAAAAACAACGGCTGTAAATTAAATATTGTCTAGCCAAACGAGCAAATTATAAGTATTAAGCCTTTATAACAGGTCATGATCCTGCTACATTATAAACTGTGAGTTTATTTATGTAAAAAGGTCTAGAATGGGTAGGAAACAATTCCCAAGTAACTTGAATAAAATCCTAGTCATCTAACAATACTAGTTCAGTTTATTATGGATAAGATTAATTAATGATTTGTTGTTATCCTACATCTTACAGCTGATATTTTTTTTTTTTTTTTGGCAATTAAAATTACTGGCTTTATTACCATAAAGGTTTTTGATAAATTGAGAGTTTGCACAAGGAGCACCAAAAAAATAGAATCAATGCAATGGCTATTAATAATACTATCAGTTCATCCATGAACTACAAAAAAACAGCACAACAGACTGCAACTGGTAAACTAGTCTGACCAAAGATTGATCTCAGTGATAACATCAGTAATCTAACCTCCACCCATTTTCTGGAAAGGTTCAGAAAAACACAATTCTACATTGTAGGATAACCCATAAAACACAACAAAATTTGCACAAACCACAGCAAAGATCCTGATTTCAAAACTGACTAACAAACCAGCTTAAACAACACATTATAAGAGAAGGTAAGGAGATGTTTACTTGTATCAGCCACGAAAATGCCATCGACCTGAACTAGTGGCCTAGTGGGGCTGTGGTTTAGATTTTTAATACTTCTTCCCAAAAAATCTGTTATAAATCAAACTTAACAGCAATATAGTACAATTTCATCCAGACTATATACAAAAATGTATCAGGATATTATATTCAATGTTTCACAGTAAAAGAAAAATGAGTATCCGACGAATCAACAATGCTCAAAATCTATGGCAGAGTCATAATTCATTACGATTTCCCATTTTTTTCAAGAGCTTTGCTAAAATACTGAGGTAAGTTGTAACAAACTAGTATTAACATCAAAATTGCACTTCCAAGGACGAAGTATGAGCCCAAGCTTGAACTTTTTAGGAGATATGGCAATGGGAGGGAAGAATATAAATGGAAATTGGCACTGCAAATTAAGATAAAAAAAAATAAAAAAATAACCACTTAAAAAATGTAAAGTATGAAGTATAAAATCAAAGAATCGAATTTGTGGAGGGAGAAAAGAAGCACTTGAGAGTGACAAGACAACCTGATACCATGGTAACAAGTGAAGACACAGCGACACTTGAAATTTTTAGTAGATCGAGGACTGATATGTTGAATGCTATGTTGCTGACCATATACAGAAGGGGTAGCAGCGGAGCTCCATCACATCCTGAAAGAAACATCCATAGCATTCTAAATTATTTCAAATAAATTAAACACTGTATTGGCTATATTAGGTTCTGAATTCGACCTTCCCCCCTCCCCCTTTACTAAAATTATGCTGGTGTTTGTGCCTTGACAGACCTCCTCTCAGTCTTTCATTAATCCAAAATGTAAGCATTTGTTGATTGTGAGCACAAAATTAAATTACAAGATCAGTCAGTCATAAAACAAAGATTATTCTACAACTGATAAGTACACTAACATGAAAAATGGAATACAAACATAAGACTAGTCAGTTGAATCCTTGAAAACTTTTTTAAGGTCATTTATTCGTCTCTTTCATAAATTGGGGTCAGAGCAGTTTTCTCACAGCCTAGTAGATTTACCCCAAAATGGGCGTTCCTCCAAGTCTAATTGCTTTACCTTCTCCTTACCCCATCATCCAATGGTCGGAGTTTGCAATTTTGAATTGGGAAAAATAGCCACTAACCTTTGAATTTGAACTCTCTTTTGAGGAGCAAACAAACTAAATCTTCAATTCCTACAAATGATTGAATAAAAAATATTAAAATTAAAAAACTTAGGGTTTATGGTTAATTAATTGAAACTAAATTTTAAAAAAATAGGTCGGCGGGTGGTCTAAGTCGTTGGGTGGCCGGCGGCTGGGTTGGTGTGAGGCGGTGGATCTAGGCGGCTGAGCAATTAAGGGTTAGGGATAGCAATGTTTTTTTAAAAACGAAAGAAAAAAGGAAAAACCATTACCTGGTGGTCGATAGCCGACGCACGAAGGACGACTAAGGGGAACGGAGGGTGGCCGGCGAAGGGTGAGTGGCGGTGGGTAGTACCTACTCTCTCCTTCTACGTATTTTGTTCGACAAAAAATAGAAATAAAACCAGAACCCTAAAATTACGAAATTGAAAACCAAATCAACGACAAACCCTAGATTGCGAAGGAATTCGGTAGATTAAGAAGACTACATTACCTCGAAGATGCTTCAATGGAGGTGAGAAAGCTCATAATCGGCTTCAATGGAGAATATAGAGCACGAGTTAAATTGAGGCCAGAGATATAGAGAGAGAAGGAGCTGCTGCTCAATGGACTAAGAAAGCTCGTAAACCACTTCAATGGAGAGAGAGCGAGCTGCTTCAATGGAGTGGAGTTCGGGAAGAGAAGGAGATGCGAAAATGAGAGGGAAAGAGAAGAGCAGAACGAAGAGGGAAAGCAGGGGGGAAAAAAGAAAGAAGAAGAAAGAAAGCCATAAACCGGTTTTTTTAAAAACATTTCGCACCGGTTTGGTTAGAACCGAAGCGATATCCTTTTCTTCTGGTTTTTTTCTAAACATTTCGCACCGGTTTAATAGGAATCGGTGCGAAAAGTCATTTCCCAAATCCCGCCCATTTCTTTTACCACCGGTTTTCAAGAACCGGTGCGAAATGTGCGGTGCCTAATTCATTTTTTCTACTAGTGAGATCTTTAACTCATATATAGGCCTTGCTTATTAAATACATGTTTCTTGATATTTGAAAATAATACGTACTTCCACATACATATTCAACTTGTATCATGCCTCAAATATAATATTCACATGCTTTTATAACAATTGATGCTCAACCAACATCAATTCCAAGCATATAATCAACCAAACGTGCTACTAATTCATCACTTAAATCATACTTCACAAATCCTAGCATGATACTACGCAATACACAAATATTCTTGTGCACATACGTACCTTGAATAATGCCTAAACTCGGCCACACTCGTTAGAAATCACCTAGCTCAAAGCTTCCTACAAATAAGAATACATAACTATAATTAATCAACTATTCTAACAAATTTCCAGCAACTATAATACTCTTTAAACCTTACTAATTAACCCAATTTAATGACATAAAAGCCATAAAACCTTTTCTTTAAGTGAATACTTCAAATCCTTTAAAAAAGACTTAATTTTTATCACTTAAATAAAATTCCAGCATACTTATTTAATATAAAACATCACTAATAGACTAGAAAATCATATTTAAACCTTTTTTCCTTTTATGGGTAATCAAAACCTAACTCAATAATTAAAAAGTAGTGTGCATAGATAAACTTCAACATTAATTGGAGGGCTTTAAACTCATTAAAACAATGTTTAAACCATTAAATAAACAATAACATCAATCTAGGATCAAACCTTAACCATAAACATTAAATTCCCAAATTCTAGGGTTTATAAATTGGGGTTTTTGTTTGAATAAAAATTTGAAAATTATATAAATAATTGAACAGCATCAAATACCCAAATTCAATACCAAAACATAATCAAAATTATGCTTTAAAATATTAAAAACAATAGAATTAAATTAGGAAGAGAAAAAGAGTTTTTTTTTTAATAATACCAAAACACCAAAAACAAAAAGGAGAGAGAAGGAGGGGTGGCCGGCGGGGCTATCGGCTATAGCTGCTGCCGCCGGTGGTGGTGGTGGTGCCGGTGGTTGCCGGCGTGAGGGGAGAAGAAGAAGGAGAGAGAGAGGCGTGAGGAAGGAGAGGAAAAAGAAGAGGAAAAAGAGAGGAATATAAGGGGAAAGAGGAGAGGGAAAATAAAGAGAAAACCTTGGAATTTCTTTTGTGAGACAATTATGATTTTAGAATGAAAAATCTTGAGGCTTTGAAGTATTTATACTCCCCTTTTAAAACAAAAACTCATAATTACAAAACTGCCTTTACTAAATCCTACTATCCCTTGACTTCTTTCTTTGGGGCTACCTTGTTGGGCTCTTAAGTGTCCTCAATCTCGCAACAAGTTGATCCAACTATTGAAATAAAGATGACCCAATTCAAAACACTTTTATTTCCTCAATTAAAGACCCATTTTATTTTATGCACACTAACATAATATTTAAATAATTAATTTCTTTTAAAAAATTAAATGAATCATTTTAATTTATAAAATAAATAATTTATATAAATAAAAATATTATAAAAATACGAAGTATCACAGTCTACCCCCTTAAAAGAAGTTGCGTCCTCGAAACTTGAGCACGAAAATCTTAAAACTTTGTTAAAAACTTATTTAAAACTGTACTTTTTCACCGACTTAGTAAAAACTTTTCTTAATACTCATAATTGTTGTACTTTTTGTACCCTTTCTTGTTCTCTTTCTTTCTAATCTTCTATAAAATTGTGCAAAATATACTAAAAATGAACAAAAATATTTGAAAATAAGGTAAAAAGCGCGAAATTCTACCGCATTCTACCTTCTTGAAGAAAACGAGTTACGTCCCCGTAACTCAACTAACCTCAAACAATTCAGGGTACTTCTTTCTCATTTCATCCTCAGCTTCCCATGTCGCTTCCTTAGTCTCTTGATTCGACCACAAAACCTTTACTATCTTGACATCCTTCTTGCGTGTTGATGGGCGTTAGAACGGTCGTACATTCCACACTCAATCAAACACATTTATTAACAAACACCTTACAAACCAAGCATAATGACAAGTAAGAGTTCGGTCCACAAGGAACGGGATATGATTGCCAAAGATCTTTACACTTAAGCTAACTCGAAGTCAATTGGTGAATTGGGGTTCGTCAAGAAGACAAACAAACTATGGTTCTAAATCAATGAATTAAAGATACTAGGGAATGAGATCCACTCAACCAAGGCAAATAGGCAAACGGGGAGTAAAATAGACAAGATATAGCAAGGACTATATGTAAAATCAACCTCATGCAATTAGAAAACAACTCACACTACTAAACTTAGATTCCTCATTAGTTTAGCAATAGATGATACATAATCAAATTACAATAAGTAATGACGTACTCAATTTACACTTCCATGTCAAATTAGGCATATCATACTATCAAGCTCCTTAGTCAAGGGTAGCTAAACCTATCATGAGGAACTAACAAGCAATCTCATATAATCAATTTAATTGCAATACAAACATCAATGCTTCTCCCACATTTGCATAGTTAACCCAAAAGGTCGAGCTTCACCCAACCCCTAGCAAGAAGACTACTCACAACTCATGTTTATCAACATGCAATCAAGAATTAGGGTTCTAAATACTTCAATAATTGGGGAAAAGTGGTTAACAATTGAAATAACTATCATCCAATAACAAATTACCAAGAACTAAGAAGATTTAAATAACATGCAAATACCAAATAAAATCTGAAATTAAAAGGAAGAAGGTTGGAGAAATTACTAATTGAAGCTTCAAATGTTGAATACAAATTGCCAAACTTTGAGAATAATTCTTGAATTTCACTAATACAATGATTTGATTTGATGAAAACTAAGCTAAATTAATCCTAAGGAATGTTTCAAACTAAGAGAGCTTTCTGAAAACTAGGCTACTGTCTTTCTTCTCTCCCGAAAAACAATCTCAAAAGGACCTTAAATAGTCCGTACAAAATTGGCTGAGATCGGGAAAAGGTCCGACCAAACTCTTGGTAGGTTCGGTCGGACTAAGGGTAGGTTCGGTCGAACCCTGTGTAGGTTCGGTCGAACCTCCCTGATCCTTGTTTAGTCGAACTTTTGAGGTTCAACCTCTCCTGCAAATTTGCTGAAAACTGGTTTGACACTGCCTTCACTGCACCCTGGAGGTTCGGTCAAACTTTTCAAAAGTTTGACCACACCTAGGTTCGACCGGACCTTTCAGAGGTTCGGCCACACCTCCTCTTGCACTTCCTTTTCTTGCTTCCTCTCCTTCCCTTTTGCTCCTCTTGCCTTTGTCCATGGCTTCCATACTTGGCCAAGGGGCCTCCCACCGTGCATAGGACCGTCATGGAACCTGCAGAAGATACCAAAGTTCACGAGAGCATGGGGATGATAAAATAATGCATAAAGATTATCAAAATAAGCGCAAATAAGCATTACTTTTCATCAACACATAAAGAAGCCATAAGAGGATAAATGAGGTGGAAAAACCTAAGAAAAATAAGAGGAAAAAGACCTAAATACTACCCCTAAGAGTGACATAAATGTCACTCATCAAACTCCCCCACGCTAAGCCTTTGCTCGCCCTCGAGCAAAGCAAAGGAAAATGAACAAGGGAGAAAGAATTAGTTATTCAAACATGAAAGGAACAAAAAAAAAACCGAAATTGCTTTTAGCAAAAGCAACAAGCCATTTAAACCCCAAGGTCGTCGATGAGGACGAGTTGTGATCTCGTGAGGGTTTCCAGAGAGCATACCCCACAACTCTTACAAAATTGTGTTCAAGACAAACCATAAACAAGGGAAAGAGAAACAACAAATCCAACACAAATCATAGCCAAATCGAGCTTTTGGAGATAACAAACATGAATGCGTGTCAAACTTTCTGAGTAGTAGAAGTGAGCATGCAAGGGGATGCCGAAAGTTGATTGAAGGATAAGTTATGCTAAGCATAGAGAACTCAAACATGCACCACTCCCCCCCCGCATTCCATACAATCTTACCGCGTTCCCTCATCTAGATTCAAATCCGCCCTTGGAGATAGCATCAAGTGACTCCTCGAAGGAGCCGGAACAAAGATAAAACACTGCAAAATAGAGGAACCCGACATCTCACCAAGTCATGCCTTCTCCATATGCTTGAGTTCCAGCTCCCTCCACCGACTAGTGACTCAACCAACCTAGGTCAACAGGGCATTGAAAGGGTTGTAACGTTGGCTAGGGGGTAAGGGTGTGGAGGAATTTGGAAATTGGTGCTTAGCCTAACCGTGAAGCAAAGGGTGATCAAGCCTCTTTTTCAAAATCAATCATCAACCAATTTTCAAACTACGTTGCCACAATCTTGAACTATAATGCCAAACACTTTTGAGCTTTCTCTTTCCTCTTACATCTTCATTCATCAACTCTTCGTTTGTCACATTCTCTCTGTTTTTTTTATTTTATTTTATTTTATTTATTTATTTATTTAATTTTTTTTTTAGCTTCAAAGGCTTTTCTAGGATTTACATTTGCTTTTCTTGAACACATATTCACAAAAACACTGCTTCACTTTTCAAGTAGAACCATTCCCTTCCAAATTTCAAATCAAAACTACAATAAGCCCTCATGGCTTGAGCTTCACGATTCTAAGGGTGAAAGTAAAACAAAAGGGCCATGGGCTTGCAATGTGCTATAATCAAGGAGGGGAAGACTCAACATGGTAAGGGCAAATGCAACCCAAAAATACAAAAGATAAAAAAAAAAACTAATACTAGAAAACAAAAATAGTCACCGAATGAAGAATG